GCGGTGGTGGATGCCCCATCCCTGGAAACATTCAAGGTCAGGTTGGACGGGGCTCTGAGCAACCTGATCTAGTTGAAGATGTCCCTGCCCATGGCAGGGGGGTTGGAGTAGATGACCTTTAGAGGTCCCTTCCAACCCAAACTATTCTATGATTCTATGAAAGGTATGTTGCCCTCATAGACTGGCACTTAGAGCAGCCAGAAGATACTCCTGTTATTCCATTGCCAGTCAGTGGTTATGTGTCAGCTGAAATGCAGACATTGTTGTTCTGCACTTGCAGCTGACCTTAGAACCACTAGGGACTATATCTGTTGCACCCCCAAACTATTCTATGATTCTATGAAAGGTATGTTGCCCTCATAGACTGGCACTTAGAGCAGCCAGAAGATACTCCTGTTATTCCATTGCCAGTCAGTGGTTATGTGTCAGCTGAAATGCAGACATTGTTGTTCTGCACTTGCAGCTGACCTTAGAACCACTAGGGACTATATCTGTTGCACCCGAAATTGTAGTATTGAGCCCTAACCTGATTCCTACAGCAGTACAGAGGTAAGATGTTCTTGGGTAGGACTGGGTCTGGGTCTACTAAAGTATTCCATGAGTGTCTTGTTAAAGAGCTATAGTAGGAAAGAAAAGGTAATGACTGACTGGCTTTGTCTTATGTTCCAGTTGAAGTGGAGGAACATAAAGCTACCAACTTTTAAAATTTCAAGGTTATTGTTTACAGGCAAGGCTCACATGACCCCTTAAATAGTGCTGTGAATTTGGAAGTGGAAGTAGCAAAAGACATTCCTTATACACTTTTGTCCTGCCAAAACTCTGCAGCAGACAAAGGAAGTCTTGGAGCTCCTCCTCTCTTCCATTTTCCTGCCTGCTGCCTCTGCTCCAATTTCAGCTGCAGTCCTAACACTACCTTGCTCTTGTGGTTTGAAAGCCACTAAGAGGAGCAGAAGCTTAAAGTAGTGATCTTCCCCTTGTGTTTTGTTAGTCTTCAATAAATCTAGCTCTACCTGCTTCTTATGAAAAATGCATATAAAGCAACATCTGTTGTTTTTATCAGCTCAGTGAACAACCAAGTAATTACTAGGTAGTCAACCCTTCTAAACAGACCAGTGTTATGGACAGACTTATAGTAATGCATTAGCATTGCAATTACGTTTGCCATTAGCTTACCAATCCTGGAACTGTTAGTATGCAAGAAGGATGTCTATAAATTAAATTTTAAAAAGGGCTGGACTTCTGACACTCAAATGTATTGTTTCTGTAGGATTCCTTTAGGAAAACTAAACGTAGCTGAATTGCTACTTTGTCATGGATTTAAGAGCTCACCCATGTTTTAGCATTTGTATTAAATAGTCTTTAATTGCTCTATACTAAACTGTATAACTTCCATACAGTCTATTACGTGTCTGCGTCTTGTCTCATCTTCTGTCTCCTAGTAAAAATTGTTACCTCTTAGCAGGCTGACCATGTGTTATCTTGACAAGCATGTCAAGAGTTGAAATAAGTTTAGCTTTCATTTGCTTTAGTTTGATGTGGAAACCTGCATCTTCAAAGGCAGTTTGTTGAAGAAACAGCTTAAAATGAGCAAGAACTGTAGGAGTGCGAGAAGCTCAAAGCACTGAATGCAAGAGCATCATGTGCCATTGTGAAGGATACCAACTGAATATAATGTTGCTGAATATGGTAAACTGCACAACTTCATTAAGTATCTATTTTTCTCCACTGCAGGAGCCTGAAGATGCAGCAAGCCTGATAGTGAGGACCAAAGAATCTCCTTAAAGAAGTCAGACAATCTGAAATATTGACAATGTCTATTATGGATCACAGCCCCACCACTGGAGTGGTGACTGTTATTGTTATTTTGATTGCTATTGCGGCTCTTGGTGCCTTGATACTGGGCTGCTGGTGTTACCTGCGTCTGCAGAGGATCAGTCAGTCTGAAGATGAGGAAAGCATTGTGGGTGAAGGAGAAACCAAAGAGCCTTTTCTTCTGGTGCAGTATTCTGCTAAAGGACCTTGTGTAGAGAGGAAAGCTAAGCTAACTCCAAATGGCACAGAAGTACATAGCTAACTTGGAGCAACACATGTATATGGACTATGCTTATGATGTGTGTAACCAGCAGAATATATTGTGAAGAACCTGGTCACATGCACACTACTCATCAGAAAACACCCTGATGAGGATTAAATAAGCTTTGTTTGCAACTGCATGCACTGAGAAGCTGCACTTTGCATCAACTGTGTATCCTAATTCCTCTATGACAGGAGCTGACTCACCTGGCATAACGTCCATTGCCGGCAATGGACACAGGAATATATTGGTGTGAAGAGACTACTAGTGTTTTTTGTTACTTGAATGTTTAGCTGAGCCTATTTTGTTGGAGCTACTACTGTAATGTGAACTACTTTACAACTGTGAACTGTAAATAGGCTGCCAGAAGCTTTTTGCTTTGTGTTCCACAGCACATGGGAATAATATGATGCAACTGTAAATAACACACAAGGGGACTCCTGAATCACAACTATAGATGGGATTCCAGACCTTCAAAACCAAATCTGCAGTTAAAGCTTGCTTCTGCTACTAACTTGAGTGCACAGCCATAAAGTCAGAACTCGTACTCTTGACAGTTTATTGGACTGACGCAGAATACTTTCTTTGAAAAGAAGGTATAAGCCTTCGGTAACATGTTGAGGGAGGAAACACAGGAGCTGCAAGAAAGGAAGTGATTTCCTTTAGTTGCAGCTAGGTAGGTCAAGCTTTTGGCTGCTAGAACTTAGTTCTCCAACTATGTAGCTACTGCAAGGAAACTGCCATTTTGATGGATTCCAGCCTGGGAACTAATGATGGATACTAAACCCTCAGGGATGATCCAGAAGGTTTCCAGGAGTCTGAAATGGCAGTAGAGCAGGCTTTTCTGCATGCTGAAACTGCAGAAGTGATTACTTATTAAAACTGGCATAAGTGCAGTTTTAATATGAATTTTTCCTAGAACCCCTGTTTGTGTACTTAGCAGTTAGGGTATATGTTAACAGCCTGTTGTAAAAAGGCATTTTAGTCTATAACCAGTCAACTACAGAATTCAGTTAATGTATCTTGTAGATAACTCTCTTGATTTAACTGTACTACTACAAGATAAATTTCAGTCTTTCCTACAAAAACAAATGTTGATATCGGGAAGCAAGATTGCTGATTAGTTTGTTAAAGGTTTTTAACTAGCAATGGTGAAGTCCTTCCAAATAAGGACATCCCTTCCATTTCCAGCCCTGTGCTATAGTTCAGCCATAGGAACTGTAAAAAGAATGTGTTAAATGGTGAGTTCTGGACCCCAAAGGTTTGGGGGGGAGGAGAAGGGGCAACACTGAGCCACCAATGGCAGCTTACATATTCTAAATCTCTTAGGGTGGGCACATATGCTTTGAGGCCACTGACCTGTTTTCTATGACTTTATACATAGCTTCCTTTGCTTACTGAAATTTTTAAATGCTTAATTGCTTAGGAGAAAAAAAGCTACTGTAAATCTGTTCCCTGAGATAAGTTACAAATAATGAAGTCTAAGTTCTTCAGCTCTAGAGGAAGCATTAGACTTGCTTCTTGTACCTGTACATACAGAATAACTAAGTAACATAGGCCTAGCAAGCTTGCTTGAGAATTATAACTATATGCAAGACAACACTGGCCTGGACAAAAACTCTTGTCCCTTTCTTCTACAGTAAGAGGTTGACTTGCATTTTTAGTGCTACATTTGCCTTTTTTTTTTTTAATTGAAGGCTATAATTTGAAGCAAAATTAATGCTGTCAGTAGCAGAAAGCTCCTGGTGTTGCCTCCTGAGTACAATATGTGGTACAGCTGATAGAGGGCTGTTCTTGCCCTGGCATGTGCTTTTTTTTAAGATACCAGTCTCATGAGACTTGCACATATAGCCAGACCCATACACTTAAACTGCTGTATTCTAGACCTCTTACAAATCAAGGAGAAAAGGATTAATTCATTAAGACTTTCTTTAGTTCACACATGGCTCTTGCAGGTTTCAAGACAGTCAGATAACTGGTATACAAAAGTGATACAAAGTGCTGAAGTTCTAGAACAGAATAGTTGTAGCAAGATGACTTTGTCCATTCAAGTTTACTGATTACACAGATGAAAGATCTCTATTTTAATTCAGCAAAGAGAATGCAGTGTAAAGGGCAAACTTCAGAAATTATGGAAAAGTATAAATCAAAGGTCTAATTTGTCTTCTAGCAGCTGTAAGAAAGCCAGTGAAAAATAACTGGTCCTTAGTCACAGGTGCTTCACACTGCTGCCCCTGAAAATCAGCCTCTTCAAATGTATAGGTGTTTGCAAGTTAGTACAATAGTAAAGTGCAGAAAGTGTTTTCCATTCTCTTCTTCTCTTTAGATGTGGGTATCTAATAAGTTGTTCAAGTATACAAAAATACTCCATTTGATTTTTCTTTTTCTAGATTGTGTGGGGGAAGTAGTCTTTACTTACAATGAATTTCAATAAAATTTGCATAAATACCTACCCAATACTGTTTCATTTGACTTTGTGTAAGCAATCATTCTGTCCTGTTTCCACTACTGTGATCTGTCTCTATGGTATCAATATTATCAATCCTTTTTTCCTCTACTGTGGCAGTAGCTGTTGAAACTGATACATCATTATCTTCAGAAAGTGTTCGTTCTGACTGAAGGGATTCTTTAATTTCATCTTTGCTCCGTAGCTTTCCTTCCCTCGATGCCACCAGGATTCTCAGTAAAGTATTCTCTTTAAGGAGGTTTTCTGATGCATCAGCTAATTCTTGAAGCTTTTCAGCCATTTCTAATAATTCTTGATTCTTCTGGTCATATGTGGCCTGTAACTGCTCACTGTGGAGCTGCAGAGTCTTGTGCTGCTTTTCCAGTGTGTGTTTTTGCTGCTGTAGTCTATGTTCCTCTCTCCTAGCTTCAGAAAGCTGTGCTTCAAGCTGGTCATGGGCCTGATGAAGGGCACCGATTTCTGATCTTAACTTCTGAATTTCTCTCTCTAAGTGGGAGATGTGTCCTTGCTGTAGAACTGCCTCTTCATGTAGGCATTCTTTGGTACAGGGCTCTGATGAAGAAAGACTTGAGTGATGTAAAATAAATTTAAGGAGATTAGGAAGGTTAACTGAAAAGTCTTCAGGGAACTTCACACTTTGTTCCTTCCTACAAAGACATAACAAGTTAGTATTAAAACATTCAGATAGGTAAGCAATGATAATTTTATCTAAGAATCTGCTGTTCAACTCCAACTTGATTATCTTGGTTTTTATCAAGAATGGTTAATATAGCAGCTAAGAGAAACGTGAACTCATGTAATAAAGATGATAGAGCACACGGTATTTTCTTTTGATGAAGCCTTTTACCTGTATTCCAGTCTGGGTGCTGTAAGCATCTCTGCACTGGATTGGTATTTGTCTGAGAGCAAAATTTTTTGTCAAATTTCAGGAAACAAATTTTACTCTTAAAAAAAAGTATCCCAGTTATGGGTTATGAGCTTGAAGTAGATATTGTTGCATCACTGTTGGGCAGGTGTGATCAGAGCTTACGGATATTAGCATTTGTTAGTAAGTTGAAGGACAGCATTTAAGTGTTCCTAATTCTACATACATTGTTAGAAGTTAAGTCCAGATGTATAAAGCTATCTGATGGGAAATGACTATTTTGAGCCTATATATGTTATCCTGGAAGAAGAGCTTAGTGTGTTCCAACATCAGAAGGGTATTACAAGAAGCAGAAAAGTACAATTTGCTTTTAAACAGTAAGCAGTCACTTTAGTCAGAAGCAAGGCCCTTTTGCTGTCAAAAAACCAACTCTTTTTACTTGTTCCTCTTACTTCTTTCTCTTTATGCCACTGAGGTGATCAAGGAGGCGAACCAAATAAGTTTTTGGGTTTTTTTGGTGGTTTTTTTTTTCCCTGAAGCTCATTATATGGCTGTGAATACTAAGCCCAGCATATGAAGAGGTAGGCCCGTTGCTTTCTGCTACAGCATAAACTGTTATTCTTAACCTGACAAGAGTCCAAGCTGCTTGAAGACCAACAACTACCAAGTTTCTTCCTCAAGACTACTAGCCATCAAAAGACACCCACAACCTCCAGCTATGTCAAATGTTAAAATTATTGCCCTTTTTGGACCACGTGCCTACTTCTATCACAAAACGTAGGAGGCTGAACTGTCCTCTGAGGACCAGACAGGAACTAACTCTTAACCTTCTCTTTCTGAACCAGTTACATCTTCAACCTTTCACTGAGCATGCTGCAGTGTAACATGAGTTTGCTGCCTCCTGACTATTGCAGTAGAGCTACTTACACGTCAGTATGTTTAACTGGGAAGCTAGATAATAGTTTATCGCTTTGTATCATCTTTAGCCTTCACCAGTTAGAAGCATATTCTCTCTTTCATTAGGGAGCCATCAAAACAGAGAAGAAAAGCTTAGCTTACTTCCCTTTGGTTGCCAAATTCATAATCAGATTAATGGTACGTAGCATACATTCAGACATGGGTTAATTACACAAGTCAGAAAAAGGATATAGGATAAACCCAAACAAAAATTATTCCAAAGCAAGAAAGCCACATTCAAGTATAATGCCTAATGCCTCAAAGTTTACATGCTGCTCATGGACAACTCCTATGTCCCCACATGTGACATTATGTTTCTGAATCGCTTACACTGTGCATCTGAACAGGGGAGTTACTCAAGTTACCAGTTACAGTTGCCTCAAAAATGCTTTCTGCGAAATCCAACTCATTAGCATATGGGATATAAACATATGCTAATTTCATTTACTGAGAACTACTTATTGCATTTCAGGTAGAAGACAGATACCATATTTTATCAGTAATTCAAGAACTTCAGCTAGATGAGGCTCCAGTTCATCAAAATTAAGCTATTTCTGGAAGCATAAGCAACATGATTTTTCTTCCCCCTGCAGACTTTTGGTGATCAACCAAGTTACTCTTGTAATTACCATCAGCAGTTTCTCAGCTGACCATCAGCTCACATCCAAGTTTAATGAATCATGACATGATTTAGGCAAAAAATAGTCTACACTAAGACAAAACTGACTCATTATACAGTGGTAATATTTTACTATATCATCATCCATTCTTACTGATCAAAAACACAGTATGTATCAGAAAAAGCTAAAAGGCTATTTAAAACTAAAAGCAAAACAAAATATTAACAGCATGTGGTGGAAAGAAATTGAGAACTGAGTTAATTTGCAAAAATTGTCTCATAAGGCAAACGCAGAAGGAGCTGCATAGAAAGCCTTAATATGAGGCACCTTTATATTCAAAATTAATACATGACTACTCTAGTAGTGCTACTGATACTGCAAATACTGTCAAAACCTAATTTTCTTGATTACCTAGATGCAGCAAAATATAAAACACGCTGGAGAGGAAAAGCAGGAGAGAAAACAATGACTAGACGTAAGGTACCTTTATGAAACCAACTGGAGTATTACAAAAACAATCTTACTAAAACCATGAAGTCTGTCACTCCAGAGACAGTCTAGAGCTGCTTTATAAAACAGACCAAGGCAAAATGAGTATCTATGAAAAGAAATAGGGAACACCAGACTTTGTAGTAACACAGGGAAGATGGTAAGTATTAGAGGAAGCTTCACTTACCATAAATTGTTTTGCTGCTCTAAAACCTGCTTGAGCTATGCTTTAAAATAATTCAAGAAAAACCTTTTCATCATGTTATACATGACACTCACTCTGTCCCCTAGAAGGTACGGTTCTGCAAACTAGATCCTTGTTCAAAAGCAGGAGGGAAAAATCACTTGACTCAAGTTTCCAAATAGTATTTTGGGGCTCATTAACTACAACAGTGGTCTTAAAACTGTAGCCACAACAGTATTTGGAAATCAGTTTCTAAGTTTTTCCAGCCCCAAATTTAATCACATTAGTATTCCAATGGTTGTTAATATGGTTAGATCTAGTAGATCTTCAGCTTATGCCACTTGACCTAATGGAGTAGAAGACAACAGCATACTACTACTACTACTACTACTACTACTACTACTACTACCACCACCACCACTAGCTGTCTCAGTTGTCAACAGCACCTCATGAAACAGCGTGGCTCATCTCAACTAAAATTGAGACCACTCATCTTTAAACCAGCAGGTCCTCTGCTTGTAGCCACTCAAGCCAGCCAGAACTAATGGACTGTGCAAACAAAAGATAGAGTCTGAATGCTGGAAAATGTGCAAAACAGACCCAGTGGAATCTGCAGAACTTGACAGGTACCTGGATTGGGGTATTGGCACTGAAGACTACAGCTTTTGCTAAGCAGCAGATGAAGGTAATGCTGCCTTTATGTAGACAGGTACACACCTTGGAACTACTCCAGCTGAGTTCCTGCTCAATTCACCTAGGGAACAGAGAAGGACTGGAACTGAGCTGGAGGAATGTGGCAGAGGGAGCCGGATCTGAGGCTGATTTGCAAAGCTTCCTGTGCAAAGTAGGGGAGATGATGAGTTGGAAGTTGGGGTGACTCAGAACTGATATAAATGAAACTATTTCTGTACTGAATTAAAACATAAATTTAGAATTTCAAAACTTAAGGCACAGGTTTAAAGATTTTGTTGTAGGTAACACTGCACAGTACCAATAGTCTGAATTACCATTTGCTGATGATAGAGTTCTTGAGGGAGAAGGGTGGAAATCAACATTTGTATCTTACATCGCAAAGAGGCAGGTATTTATTATAGTGCTTGTTTTCATTTCCTTTCTATAAAAACTGTAATTGTCTAAGATTGAGTATTAATCTTTTAAAAAAAGAAAAACAAAACCCAAGGTCAATCAAGTCTAACACATAGGGCATACATGTAACACCAAAAACGTCTGAAACAATAAATTGAGCACTTTTGAAAGCTTGTGGCTCGCTTGCATCTAATGTTTCTTTCTTGTTCCTCAGCCTACGAGAGGCTGGATGCACCTGCACTGTGTGTACTGGTACAAAGCAGAAATGACACACAGGTTTGACACTGGATTTCAGAATTTCTCCCTGCTGCAGACGAAGAGTAGGATTCAGGACGCTTGTATGCCGTTTCCAGGTCCCATCCCAGTCCTAAATGTACTCTCCTGCCCTTTTACATCCCTAACTTTAGAGTTCCTTTTTTTCCTCACCCACCCTTTGTGCCTTTCTCTACCCCACCTTCCTTTTCTTGCTTTATTTTTTCCACCCATTCATGAATCGATTCCTGTTGTCCAACTCAGCTTTCTTTCACCATCCCACAAATTATTCTCAATCCTAGTTGTCTCCTTGAAACTACACTTAGCTGTCCTACACTCTTATTTCTTGGCTCTTTCTCTGAGGTCTTGCTTGCTGTATATAGTTTCACTTCAACAGCATGTACACCTTGTTTTACTGCTAATCTCCTTTGGATATTTTCCTCTGTAGGTGTTAAACTCCTGCTGAAGCTTCATTTGTTTTCTGTTCTAAAGAAACAACGCAAGACTTCTAGAATGCCAACAAATCTGCTGCTACTTTTCTCCTGTGGTAAGTCCAGCACTTGTTACTGAGTCAGAATGAAAACCAAAACATTTTGGCAATATACACAAATTCCCATGATGTAATTCTATAGTATCTGGAAAAGCAATGCTGGGCAATTTTTTTTTTTTAAATTACTGCTAAAAAAATTTAGCCAATAGCATTAAGGACACTAATGACAATTACAGTATCTGCGCTATTTCAACAAAAAATTTTTTAGAACTTTGAAAAAAATTTATTTATGCCCAAGTGAAATGGTGAAGTAGTAAGTGTTGTTTTAAGAAAGAAAAAAGATATTTCAATAACCACAATGTTAGTTTACACAGGAAGTTCTTACATGAAATAATGACTTTCAAGCATGGCTTTCACTTGAAGACTGTATCACATCATTTGAAATATTCACAGTTTAAAAAAAAAAAATCTTATGTTTAAGAAACACTGCAGTAGAACAGCTCAATAAACCCCCTGAAGTCTTTGCAATAGGTTTTCCAGTTTTTCTAGCCACGCAATATGACAATCTTCCAATAACTTTTATACAATTTCCGAACAATTTTGAGAATGTTTTCATTTTAAGTACATTTTCTTACTGTGTCATACTTCTGCTTCTTCAACTACCTTTTTTCACTCCATCCCATATTCTCTTTCTACTTGATCATAACATTCATAACAGTTGTTTGGGGTTTGGTTTTTTTGCTTCATATTCTTTTATGGCAACACAATGATGTCACCAAAGACGACTAATGATATCACAAAAGCAGGAAAAAGAAAATAATTCTGTATTTTTATTTTATCAGGAATGAAAACACCTCTTATTTAATGTACATTTCATACACTGAAATTTCTTTTAATATGAAACGTCTTTCAATACAAAATGGAACATAGCTGACATATAAATGAAATGTAAAACAGAGGAAAATTTAACCCTTATTTTTATTAAATCAGGACAAGATATGAGCTATCTCTATATATAATGCCATTCCTATACTATGCAAAATCAGAGATTTTGCCTTAGATAGTAGCATCTCCTTTAGAGAGCTTATAAAGGCCAGAAGTATTTCAAGTCATTCTCTCTGCCGCTGTTAGACTAGTTATTAGCTGATGGAACACTTCCATGGTTTATGCAGATTGCCAAAGAATCCAATATCCAAAATACAGGTACAGCTCAACACACATACATTCCCCCCCCCAAAAGCCAAACATCAGAACAACGAGAGAAATGCAACCTGAAAGAACTTCAGTTTGAGCAATGAACACTCCAAAGTCCCTCTGATTACGTTACATTCATTCCATCACAGAGGAGCGAGGGAGAAATAAAAATTCACAGATTAGGACCACTGTAATATTTCCAAAGGATGCATAAGCCCTCCTTTAGAGGGCTTTTTTTTTTTTTTTAAAGACAAATTTTTTACTTTACAAACACGTAACAATCTATCTCCTCTCCCTCTATGAAGTCAGGATTGTTAGTTTTTGTTCTCTTAAATGAGACTAAGCTTGGGCTGGATTACTTACTCTCCATCTGTGCTTATTTTTTATTTTTCTTCATTAAAAACAGCAAGCAAATCCTTGCATTTTACTGCAAGAATCCGTTATAATATTCTTTGAGATCTCTCTCAGTTTATCCAATTAGAAGCAATTAGATACAAGTTGCACTAGATCTATGTTGTACCACCATCTACATAATTTCTCCCCCTTTTCCCCCTCCTGTAATCACTCATTAATTTATTTGGACCATGCCAAAATAATAATTTTAAATACAACCAAATAATAAGGAAAATTAACTGAAGAATAAGGTTAGTAATGCTGCTGTTCATAAATAAAGACTTAGAAACAATTAAATAATGACCTTTGGAGAGAACATTCACTATCTGCATACCATCACCTATCCATGCCTGTTGCTGGGGGCGGGGGGTTGTTGTTTTGTTATTGTTGGGTTTTTTTAATTAGAGTATGCATAAAGTAAGAATGCATACATGGAAATGAATTACTGTTTGGCTTTTTTCTCTACTAAGACATGTAACCAGATAATTATTGTAACTTAGTAAAATGAAAGTTAAAAACCCACAGGGAAAATGTTTTCATTACCTCTGATGAGGAAAAAATAAAATGGTTGGGAGACGGTCCGTCATAAATTCCCATGGGAGGTCATTTCGAGTGATATCAATTCTGTTAAGAAAAGACACACTGATGAAGAGAACAGGCAGATGAACAATCTGTATTTTCTTGTAAAACACCATTTTAGGGACTGGGAAGAAGGAAATGCAAGTATCTGTGAAAGTAAGTCTAAATGTGTTATGTCAAAAATATGTTGTGCATACGAGTCAGCAGAATTAGTTACCAATATTCAAGATGATGCATCTCAGCTTAACAAATATCTGTGGGATTTTTTTCCCTAGAAAAATATGTGCAGTATTCCAACTGCTCTCACTCAGCAATTAAATCACTCAGTCACTCATTATGTACACAGCTTCATTATGTACACACCATCCTTCTCTGAAACAGACAGACCTGCCTAGCAGTTTCAATGCGAGACTGAAGTTTTTTCTATTCATTAATTTGTTCCTCAAGTACAACTCTATGAATATTTTCCCCTCGAGTAGTTTTGGGAGTAAATTACTGTGCTTTCTCCAAGGACAAGCACATTGTTGAAGGCACAATTTTTTCTACAGCTCTACGTAGAAAGGAACACAAGATTTTGTGAATGGAACACTTATTCAATTGCTCGTTATGTTTTTCCTCTGCATTTTTAGGTTTTCTTCGATTACAAATAAGTTCTTATTAATCACAACAATTTTATTGTAGAAAAAATAGACAATCACATCAGTAATACTGCAATAAAAATAATGGAGCAAATGAGAAAACTTCAAAGTCGGGAAAGAGAATGGGTGTAAATTTGAGAGTAGCATTACATCTGTGGGAATAAAGCCGCAATTATAAACAGGTGATAACTCCAGATTTTTAACTGAATTTTTTTCCTATACATCTCATGCTGCCTCCTGGAGTAAGTTAAGTCAGAATGAAACAAGGATGCAATCAGAGCAGATGTTGTTAGTACTGATGTATTATCAAATACATGAACAAGAATGTTTGGGTTGCACTGAAACATTAAAAACCCTGTAAACGCCAAACAAAACCATGGCTTTTTTATATATATAAAAAAATATATTTTAATACATATAAATATATATAATA